TAATATAATGTATTTACTGTATGTAATGTAATATATTTACTGTATCTAATATAATGTATTTACTGTATGTAATGTAATATATTTCCTGTATGTAATACAATGTATTTACTGTATGTAGTGTAATATATTTACTGTATGTAATATAATGTATTTACTGTATGTAATGTAATGTTTTTACTGTGTGTAATGTAATATATTTACTGTATGTAATATAATATATTTCCTGTATGTAATATAATGTATTTACTTTATGTTATGTAATATATTTCCTGTATGTAATACAATATATTTCCTGTATGTAATGTAATATATTTATTGTATGTAATATAATGTATTTACTGTACGTAATACAATGTATTTACTGTATGTAATATAATATATTTATTGTATGTAATATTATGTATTTATTGTATGTAATATTATGTATTTATTGTATGTAGTATTATGTATTTACTGTATGTAATATAATGTATTTACTGTATGTAATGTTATTACATACAGGAAATATATTACATTACATACAGTAAATACATTATATTAGATACAGTAAATATATTACATTACATACAGTAAATACATTATATTACATACAATAAATACATTTTATGTATTTACTGTATGTAATATAATGTATTTACTGTATGTAATGTAATGTATTTACTGTATGTAATATAATGTATTTACTGTATGTAGTGTAATGTATTTACTGTATGTAGTGTAATATATTTACTGTATGTAATGTAATATATTTACTGTGTATAATATAATGTATTTACTGTATGTAATATAACTTATCCCACAAATATATACAACTTGGTTTATTACAGGGAAAGATGCCTTCGTCAGATTTCTTTACTATATGTCTCTGACTTTCGTTCTAGATAATATAATTTGCTATATCATACAGATTACACAATATATATATATCAATTAAAATAGGAGATAAAATCGTCAAAGAAATACGTGTTAATACTGGTACTTTTCAAACACAAAATACTATTAAGTAGTTATTCGCCGGTAATGGAACTTTCCGCCCCAATTCATCTTTCAAGAGAACTGTTTGTTGAAATTTAACGTTTCCTAGAAGTGTCACATGGTACATTTATTTTTGGCAAAGTTTCCACTCTTCTTCTATTTACTCAGGTTATTTATGTTTCTACAAAATCGCATTTTAACAAAAGAAGTAAGCACTTTATTGAAGGTTCTGTCTTTTCAACATGACAACATTCCGTTTCAACAAAAGAAGTAAGCACTTTATTGAAGGTTCTGTCTTTTCAACACTACAATATTCCCTCTTCAACAAAAGAAGTAAGCACCTTATTGAAGGTTCTGTCTTTTTAACATGACAATATTCCGCTTCAACAAAAGAAGTAAGCACTGTATTGAAGGTTCTCTCTTTTTAACATAACAACATTCCGCTTCAACAAAAGAAGTAAGTACTGTATTGAAAGTTCTATCTTTTTAACATGACAACATTCCGCTTCAACAAAAGAAGTAAGCACTGGATTGAAGGTTTTCCCTTTTTAACATGACAATATTCCGCTTCAACAAAAGAAGTAAGCACTGTATTGAAGGTTCTCCCTTTTTAACATAACAACATTCCGCTTCAGCAAAAGAAGTAAGCAATGTATTGAAAGTTCTATCTGTTTTAACATGGCAACATTCCGTTTCAACAAAAGAAGTAACACTGTATTGAAAGTTCTATCTTTTTAACATGACAACATTCCGCTTCAACAAATGAAGTAAACGTTTTATTGAAGGTTCTCCCGTTTTAACATGACAACATTCCGCTTCAACAAAAGAAGTAAGCACCTTATTGAAGGTTCTATCTTTTTAACATGACAACATTCCGTTTCAACAAAAGAAGTAAGCACCTTATTGAAGGTTCTATCTTTTTAACATGACAACATTCCGTTTCAACAAAAGAAGTGAGCACTGTTTTGAAGGTTCTTTTTAAAGTGACGCCAGTTTTATTCATTCAAATATTCTGATGTCAGAGCCACCTGTTCTGCACATACAGAAGCTTATTTCATTAAGTCTCCTGGAGGATCAGTAGTAGGTTTACGGATTTCCAAAGCTAAAATCCGGGTTTCGATTCCTCGCGGTGGACAGAGCTCATATAGTCCATCGTGTAGCTTTGAACTAATAAACAAACAAACATACAATTATTTCATCAAAACAAATCGTTTTGTAGCCAACTTCGTAAAGATGGTTTTATTTATTCCTGGAAAGATGCCGAATGTTGCTATCTTTACGTGATCATGTGCCTTCATTTCACTGGACACCATCTGGTGATAAATCTTGTTCTTCAACGTCCATTAACGGTACGGTAGGAATTAAGTTGGAGGGCATTTCGTGTATAGTAACAGATCTTTTCGTCTCCATACAATTCCATCTCAACCATTGAATTTTGTGGATCTGAATGGCACGAGGTCTTAAGAGGATTAGGATTTATAAGAGGAGTGGATTGTTACTTGGTAATTTCATTTTTATTTTTTGCGATATATTTCCTCGTCTCGGATATGAACCCAAGACCTTAACCAAATCGGTCTATTAACTATACTTAAGGGTTAAACCCCGAATACTTACTGGTAAGACGCTTTTTAACTACTCAAACTATTACAGGTATATTGTTTTCGTTTTACTTTGGTCCCGATGGGATGAGGATTTGGTTAGAATAAGGAGGCCATTTGTTCTGTCTGGCTCTTGGTGGAATTAGGGTTTAACTTATGTTCAGAGTGAGTATAACGGTGGAGTATTACTCCTTTAGCTAAGGAATAGATAAAATTAAGGTTTTGGTGTTGTTAAGGGTGAGTAGACCAGTATATTATCACTGTTTTATCTAGGCCTGGTGAGGGTTAGGATTTAGGATATAGTAAGGGTGAGTATACCAGTATATTATCACCGTTTAATCTAGGCCTGGTGAGGGTTAGGATTTAGGATATAGTAAGGGTGAGTAGACCAGTATATTATCACCGTTTAATCTAGGCCTGGTGAGGGTTAGGATTTAGAATATAGTAAGGGTGAGTAGACCAGTTTATTATCCCCGTTTTATCTAGGTCTGGTGAGATTTAGGATATAGTAAGGGTGAATAGGCTGGTAGGCTATTTCCATCTCATGTATGGGATGGATAAGATTACAATTTAGATTATGGTTAGGATTGAGGTTGTGATTAGGATGA